AAAAGAAAATGTAGCACGTATATACAATGGAATATTATTCAGCCATCAAAAGAATATTATTCTACCATTTGCGACAACATGGAGGTATCTTGAGGTCATTGTGCTAAGTGAAAAAAGTCAGGAAAAGACAAATACATATGATATCACTGCTACGTGGAAACTAAAAACAAAACGAAAAACCAGAACTCACAGATACAGAGAATAGATTGACGGTTACTTGAGGTGGGGGTGGAGGAGGCTGGGTGAAATGGGTGAAGGTGGTCAAAAGATACAAACTTCCAGTAATAAAATAAGTTCTGGGGGTGTAATGTACCGCATGGTGTCTATAGTTAATAATTCTCTGTATTGTATATTTGAAAGTTGCTAAGAGAGTAAAACAAAAGTTCTCATCACAAGAAAAAAACGTTGTAACTATATATGGTGATGGATGTTAACTAGACTTATTGTGGTGATCATTTCACAATATATACATTCAGTAGTCCCCCTTATCTACAGGGGATACATTCCAAGACCCCCAGTAGACGCCTGAAACTGCAGATAGTACTGAACCCTATGTATACTATGTTTTTCCTATACCTGCATATCTGTGATAGAGTTTATTTTATAAATTAGGCACAGTAAGAGATTAATGATAACTAATAATAAAATAGAACAATTATAGCAATATACTGTAATAAGAGTTACTGTAGATATTAGCAACTTCAGCATACAATTATTTTTTCCTTATTAAGAACTTTCACCTTTTCACTTAAAGGAAGCTTTTCACTTCATGGCTTCTCTTTGGCACGATTGAATTGCCAGCATCACTGCACTTGTACTTTGGGGCCATTATTAAGTAAAATAAGGGTTACTTGAACACAAGCACCATGATACCTCCACAACAGTCGATTTGATAACCAAGGGGGCTACCAAGTGACTAACCAGAGGGAGCGTATATAGGGTGGATCGGTTGGATAAAGCAAGGATTCACATCCTGGGTGGGATGGAGCAGGATGGTGTGAGATTTCACCATGCTACTCAGAATGGTGGGCAACTTAAAACTTATGAACTGTTTATTTCCATTTAGTATTTTTGGACTGCAATTGATGGCAGGTAACTGAAACCATGCAAAGTGAAACCTGAATAAGAGGGGACTCCTGTATATCAGATCATTATGTCGTGTACCTGACACTAATATGTTACATGTCAATTATGTCTCAATAAAAAAATAACAATAAGAGACAAACAGATGCATTTTAATCCACATCTAACTTTCTGTGTTCATTCTCAAGTAGGTTCAAAAGGGAGAGGTGATTAGAGAACACTCTCTCAACCCCAACGTTGGATTTGGGTGAGGTTTAGCACCCACTCACAAGGTTTAAACCTGGTTCTCAGAAAGGGGCATGACTTCAGGGTTGCACTGACAGGGTAACTTGATGTGTCAATTTCATGGTCCTAAAGCTAGTAAAATGCCATCACCCTACTGTAATTAAGCTTTAACCACAGGCAGTGATGAAACGTGCCGTGGTACTCAGGTGACTCAAAGTGATAGAAAAGAGCAATACACAGTCTTGAAATCAACTTAGGCCTAGAAGGTAGGATGTTGTGCTGTTTTATTAGACTTATTCTAACATCAGGTTAATGTAAATGAGATTGAATAATGTTGAAACCTCTTAGAATAGAAAAAATGTTTTTATTATTTTTTAGGAGAATTTTATCTATAAAAATTTTCATGAGGGGCTGTCTCTGAGTATAATGTCCATCTACTTCTTTCTTGGTTTATGACATAGACTGCTTGAGAAGAGCTAGCCAATGATATAAAGTTATGTAAGTGATAATTTTAATTTAGCAATTTTCTTACATAAGGACAATAAAGCTAGACATAAAACAGTTATTAATGATCTTCCAGGGCTTCACTTGCATATCTTGGGTCAAAATGTTATTCTGTAAATTATCCCTAGTTACCAGAAAGCAGGAATCTAGATGTACATGTGTCAAATGTCTGTAGGGATTATCTGGGAATAGAATTAGGGAGCTTTATTGTGTGCCAAAAGGGTTTCTTGGGAGGTTAATTTGGGAGGAAAGAGCATCTAGCCTCCTTTTCTCTTATTGATTTTAACTCTCAATTAAACACATTAAAATAAACATTTAAGAATTTTAGTGAATTTTAGGAAAAAACAAATGCCAAAAATTAAGAAACATCCTTTGTCCTCACTAAATGACGATTAAATAGTGCCTGCTCACAAATGACTTGGGCAACTATAGTGCCTAAGAGCAGCTGGGGTACCCTGGCCAGAGAATCTTTGGGTGCTCATCCTTCAGCTGCATTCATGCAAGGTCTGTGTCCCCCAAAACCTAGCCCAGTGTTTGGCACATCGAAAGAAGTCAATAAATACAGACACACACACACACACACTTATTTATAGCCATCCAGATTTTTCTCTACATATATTCAAAGAAACTGGAAAAGGAGTTATGGGTGAGGGTTGGGTATTTACTTAGTTTCTCTAGGATAATAGTAGGTGCTTCGGTTATAAATTAGTTGTATTTTATAGGTATGTATCAAATACTTTCTCATTCTGTTGTGCATATTACTTATGAATTCAGAAATATTCACCTTAGTTTCCATTATTATTCCAAGAATAATTTTGTTTACCCTCCCACACCATTAAGCCCCTACTAGTTCTTAATGTATCTGGCATTCACTACTATATTTTTTTTCTGCTTTTTTCTCCCCAAATCCCCCCAGCATACAGTTGTGTATTTTTAGTTGTGGGTCCTTCTAGTTGTGGCACATGAGACACTGCCTCAACGTGGCCTGATGAGCAGTGCCATGTCTACTCCCAGGATCCAACCCAGCGAGACCCCAGGCACAGACGCAGAGCACGCCAACCTAACTACTCAGCCTTGGGTCAGCCCCCATTACTATATTTTTTGAAGCATGGATCAAAAGTGATTCTTCTCCACACTCATATTTAATTACTTTTATATGTTTTTAAAAGTTGTGTATTTTCCCATTGTTATTTATTTTGTATTACTGTATAATTCATTCAAAAAAGGTAACAGAGCACCAATCAGGGAAACACAGGTCTTTATCAAGATTGACCAATGAGCATATATTTATGCATTTTAAGTAAAAATAGCATGATCTTCACTTTAAACAATTGTTTTGATTAATTACTGGCCTCAACCACACTGGATAAGAGAGATTCCTTATATAATTGCTACAGCTACGTAATAGACTTTGTTGATATCTCTGTGGGAAGCCACCTCTTTCATAAAATTGGTATGGGTTTCAACAAATATTGCCATTGCTGTATAAAATAGGTTTAGTGTTCTGGACTAGCCTTGTGACGCAGTTACATAAACTAATTTAATGCAATCTTGAGGTTCATTCCTTTGTATCCCTGAAGTTTTGTTTAATCATGTGGTTTATGGAGAGAGGTGGGGGCCAGGATGGGGAGGAGTCTAGGTGTAACAAAACAGGGATGAATAGGATAGTTCAATTTCCTTTCAAAGTGATTTGGTTAATAGCTTTTACACCATATTGTTTAAATCACAAGTAAGTCTCCCAGCAGACATTTCATTGTGCCCCCCTCTCAATTTCCCCAATTCCATCCACCACCCTGCACACCATGGAAGTCTATGGACTCTGGGCTGGATGGAGAGCCATTCAGGGCAGCCTGCTTCTAAAGAGAGACACTGCTTAGCTGTGTTTTCATCATTAGCGCCAGACCTTCCCTCTAGACACCATCTTCCATGCATCCTTCCCAATAAACCATTGTGTTCATGTGACCACCAGGTCAGATGCACCCACGAACCCTTTGAAACTAGCACATTGAGTCCCTTTTTCAGGTTTTCTATATGTAACCTTTTATTCTACAACTCTGACTAATGTCATTATGCTTTAAAATCTGATAGGATGAGTGCCTCATGAACCTCATTTGTCACTATAGGTGACTTTCATGACCACTCTGATTTTTAGTGTTAATTGGCATTTTTAAAACCTACATGTTAACTTCCCACACATCTCTACCCTGCTTCATTTAGTATATCTCCCTTTTGTTCCTCATTATTGTTTTTCTAATTTTCTACTAATAAATCTCAAGTATTCCAAGCAAAATTGATATTAAAAAGTTTTTATCATGTCATATATATGACATATGTCAATGGAGCGATTAATTGTGTGGCTTTATTTTATATATTAAAATTTTGCATCTTAAAAAAGTTTTTAGTATTACATCAATAGAGCACTAATTGTGTGACTTTATTTTATATGTTGAAGTTTTGCAGCTGGAATAATATAGTTGATTTCCTGGAGCATTCTGGGTAAATAATTGATACTGGGTTGCTTGATTGACGTGTTCTTTATACCACCCCCCCCACTTCCAAACTTACTCCCACCCTCCCACCCCTATCCTCTCAACTCCTCCACTGCCCCACTGCCCCATTCTCCCCCTTCCTCCACATTCTTTCCCCCTCCTCCACTTTCCTTTCCACCCTCTGCCTCCCCCCCCCACCACCCTTGGGCCTTCCTTTCCCCTCCTCTACGACCCCACCCTCTTCACTCCTCCATCTTCCAACCTTCCTTCCCTCTCCAGCCCCCAACGCTCTCCACTGCCCCACCATGTTCCCTTGATGCCAGTGGACGCTGAAATGATCAGGACACAGTTTTCACTTAACCACTAAATCTTTATTAATTGAATTTTTATTATAACATCAATACAATATTAGTAAATAGAAATATAAAGAGAATACAGCAATAAACTGGGGAAGGGTAGGTAGGAGGTGCAGGGGTAGTGAGAAGAGGCAGGGTAAGGAGGAGGGCTACTGAAGGGGGTATAAGCAAGGGCTCTTACTCATCATTTTCCTACAACTTCCATGAATATTTACCATCCATCATCATCAGTTTAATGCCAGCAACAATTTCTCAAAGGGTATCTATCCATCCTGTAACTCCCTAAAGGCTTTGCTCACAATCTCCATCCCTGGAGTTAATACCCAGGGCAAAGAGCCTCCACTAAATTATGTATCCAATCACCTTTGAACTTTCTCCCACTAGGTTTTATTCATGTCCAATTCGCCCTAAATAGGTTGATCCCCCTGCAGTTCCCTCCAAGTTTATTTGAAGTCATTACAGGTAGCAATCACAGGGGAAAGGATCACAAGTAAGTACACATGTCCACTTATAGAGATATCTAATACATAATATCATGCTAACTTTTAAACTAATCCCACCCACTTAAGATTACTTAATAGTCCCTCCCACCCTAAAATACTTATGATTATATATCCCCTATTACTTAAACTGATTACACAAAGAAATAAAACAATGCAAATTTCCACAGACCAATTTGATAGCATTCTACAATCTGAAACAACAAAGAACTTCCAGTCCCACCAGATGTGCATTCTTTCTTTAAATGAAAATGTAGTGTGGTTCCCATCTGGCTCTTCACCTCTACAGGCTGCTTTCATTTCTACCCAGGTCTTTCCAGTAGAGTGTTCTCTGTCGCAATCTTCGAATTCTATCTGATGTTAGATGTCTGCGGTGGATGACAACTGGATCAATTCAGGAGTCCAAGAGGTACCTGCAAACTTAAAGAGAAATCCAGACTGCACTCTATAGATGTGCCCCTCTTGTTTTGTGCACCTGCAAGTTAACTGTGCTAGCTCACATGATTTAATCAAACTAATTCTCCACTTGCCAATATCTCATACAAATACCTCATTGCTCAAACTAAACTGACCCTTCAGAAATGTATGTAAACTTCCTCCCTTTCATATCCTAGCACGATGACCTTAGCTAGTTCTAAGTTTCCCTAACAATGGGAGCTCATATCTTCCTTGATTTTTTAATTAACACTGCAAATTTGGGCCAAAAGTCAATTTTACCAATTTGTTTCAAAGGCTTCACTATTGGCTTTGCTTAACAATTCTGTTTTTTATTTATACCCTTTATTTTGCTCCCTTTCTAACTTCTTCAGATACAAATTTAATTCCTTTGCTTTTCTCTTTCTTACGAATAAAGGCATTTTTGTTGGAAAATGCAAAAAACAATTTAAAGTATTCAATTAACATAAGTTTGATCAACAGCAACAAAATAAGTCAGATGAATGAAAGGAAACTTAATAAAATTCTGATACTAGAGAATAAATTTCAGATTACTTATCCTTAACACCTACATTTATAGATAGTATATATAGCAAGAGAGCATAGTACACACTGCCAACAAGTTGTTCACAAGCTTTACTAAACAGCCAAACGAGCGTCAGGGACTTCATCCACGAATTGTTAACCCACACCGCTGTGCTCTCCATGAGCGCTGTTGTTGTTGGCCAACATCTCCAGCCTTCTGCTTGCAGTGATGGCAAACGTCAGTGTGCACATGCTGGGGCTGCAGACAATGGCCCATTCTAAGCCCTCTGCAGCTTGAAGATCAATTGACAACTATAAATTTGACACAAAACAACTTGAATTCAAATGTATGGAGGATGGATTGTTATGAGGTAAACTGAAGTGATGCTTCAAAATAGTCCAGAAGCACAAATGCACCATTTCAAAAGCAATTACTCTAAAACACGAGTGACTGACAAGCTTTCTGATTCCACCAAAAAAAAAAAAAAAAAGGAAAACTTGTTTTGTATTAAATAGCCAATTACGTATCTTCTTTGAATTTGTATATCTTTTTGTGTGATTGTTAAAGGCCAATCAATAAAATGAAATTATATATGACATTAAAATAGAAGATTGAAGATGAACAGGATGAACTATGATACAAATACTCCAGTTCTGAGGAGCCTCTCGTTCACAGTGTCGTAAGGGAAGTTCACAGTCAAGAAATATTTTACACTACGTTACTTCACAATTAGTTTAACACTAACAGTAAGAATTGGATAGTACTTTGTAATTCAATGGAAATAATTTCTGAAAGCAGTCACCACTTTAAAACACTGTTAAAGGACACTACTAACCTACGGCTAAAACTTTTAAGTATTTAAACATGCAAGAAAAAGGGTGGGTGATAATGAATATGTGAAAGATAATGATGAAAAATAAAACTTCACCGTTAGGCTTCTCTTCACGATAGGCAATCTCAAATATACACCATGATGTTTTCTACTGCTCAGACTGTATTCTGGCGATCGGAGGCTGTGTCGAAACACATTCTCCATGAAGCCTGCCTTTCTTCTCCGTGCGTGGCAGCAAAATGGAGTCTCAGCAACCAGGCAGGAAGGATGACAAATCCTGCAGCAGGATTAATGGCAGTAGTAAAGAATCAAACAGAAAGAGAGAGGTTAGACAAACAGTTCAAGGTAGTAGCAAGGGACCAGGCTAAAGGAAGTCAGGCAGTCCCAGGTTAGCACAAAGCATCCAGGAGACACCGGATGATGTCACTGGATCGAAGACAACTCTTGTGTTGTCTGTTGCTTTGAGTCACTTTCTGAGGCCCTTCAGTCATTGTCAGCTCATTATCAGCTCCATCCCCTAGAGGGGACCAGTCTCCATTTTGTGAACTCCAATCTTTTTAAAGTAGGTTACCCCTCAGGTAACACTCCTGGATCTGAAGTTCACTAAAGAAGTCCATATCCTCAAGACAGTGTCCAGTGCCCCAATTCCTCTTCTTCAAAGACATCCCTCCCAGGCATAGGAGTGTTAGTCTGGGTGCTAAAATCATTCCCCCTCTCTAAGCATCCTAATGCTATAGTCCAGTGAGGGGACTGATGATGAAATGCCCTGATGCATATGGAGGCAGAGACATGGATAGATGCTCCCAAGACTTCAGGCGATGCTCTTTCAGCAAAGTAACAATGCTCGTGAAAATTCTTTCTGAAGAACCAGGACGAGTTGGTAACACTAACTCAGAGCCTCTTTTTCTAAGAGTTGGGTACGGGACTTAGGAGTCATTTTGATTTGCTACTCGTTAGCCCTCATAAATGATTGAGAGGTGATCATATTTCACAAACATCTAAACACACCTGGAGCTACCAATAGTCTCTGGTTACCAGGTTTAAAGTTCTGTGGAAGCCATTGCTGGCATGGTGATGGCAAGGTGTTGTGACAAAGCCAGAGTCCTTGGGTACATGTGATTTGCACCAGGATATGAAGGCACACTCTTAACATGCAAGAGTCCATCTGAGAGGGCACTTCCTTCTCAGGCCTGAGGTGTTTCTGGGGCAGGGGTTTTGCTCCTGGGAGAACTGGTCGAGTTGCTGCTCCTTGAGAATTAACAGAACCATGAAAGTGGAGTTTGAAGATGGTGAAGTTTCTAAGGGTGCAGCAAAAAGATCACGGAAGCCGTTTCACACTGCACCACTGATTTTGGCTTCCTTGAAAAGGTGTCAGTCCTCTTCCAAGCGTGGACAGAGTACTGAAACTGCAAGAAAAGTCATCTCCTCCTCCTGCTCTCCCCCTCCATAAAGAAAACAGCATTTCCTGTTTGCGTCAGCTTCTCTGTAAATGTTAAATGAGGAATTTGGCAGCCTATAATTTAGATGGTGAGAGGTTTCAGTAGGTAAAACCCAGCCTTCCAGAATTCTCTGGGAAGTAAACTTTTTACGAATTTCAGTTAGATTGGCAGTCAAAGTGGAAAACTGAGGGATAATTTGTTGGTCAATATTATGTCTCCCAGAAGATAGTGGAGGTGTTTTGCTGTTTTAAGATATGTGCCAGTCGAGGGTGGCCCTGATCTTCCATAGCCGTTTCAGCGAAGGTTGGCCTGAAGATGCAGTACCCCAATTTAGCACATAGTCACTGATTGAGAAGCTGAACAGGAATACATTTTGAGGGCAGAGATCCTGCAGGACAGGAGAAGAATTCAGATTGCGCTGTAGGATGGTGGCGGCGGCGGCGGCGGCGGCGGAGGCGGCGGCTGCGGCGGCGGATACTGGGGCACCGGCGGCTGGCGGTACCAATGAGGATTCCAGGTGATCATCACAGGAACATACAGCGACCGCCCCTGGCCGTCCCGTCCCACTGGGTACCAGGCGAATCCTACTGGGTAGGTCGGGTACGTGCCGTAGGTGGGATACGTTTGGTATCCAGGGATCTGTGGAACGTACTCAGTGTACGTTGCCAGGTGAGCCTGGTCTTCCAAATTTGGAATAGACAGGCGGGGATACTGATTCTGGATAGTGAAACTGTTGGGAGCTCTGCAGTCGTAAGAAACTTGCAGCTTCCACCCCCTTTTCACCTGAAGAACCTGGGCTCCATTAGGTGCGACTGTTGGAGTAATCAGGCCATCTTTCACATTTCTGGCCACAAAATCTCGCAGAGCTGCCATTTCAGGTTCGGACAGTGAGTACACATGTCCGCTGGGAATACTGTGTGCTCCAGGAATCATTTCTATGGTAGGATCTACCAGGCGGTGATCTGGGTAGACGTTTTCATCCACTGGAGTGTACACATTCTGTACATAGTAATACCTCATGGGTGGGTAAACTCTGCATCCGTCTACTGGGTAATAAAATGACGGTTGTGCTGGTGGTGGGAGGGATGGTGGTATTGGAGAGTACATCCGGCAGTGGAACCTGCAGTATTCAGAATCAAAGACGATAGATCGGGTGCTCCATGTGATGTTGGGATCGTGTATGCTCAGCCAGCGCACCCCTAGGACGACGGGGAAGAACGGAGACTGAGTCACATCAAATGACAGCACCTCACGGTGATCTCCCAAGTCGACTATCAGGTCGTGCGTTTCGTGGACAACTGGGCCCGATGCTATGGGACGTCCATCAATTGCTTCTACAAGTATCGGCCAGTCTTTGATTCTTAGAGGAATTCCATTTTGGGCAACGTATTCGTGATCAATGAAGTTGCCAGAGGCACCAGAATCAATCATGGCTCGGACGAACAGGGTGTGTCTGCCCGGAAGATGAATCTGGAGCATCACTTGCAAGTGTGGAGATGAAGCATCATCTTGTGGGGACCTTATTATTTCCGGCCCGGTCGCTGAAGGTCCCTCTACAGCGGGGCCGGGGAGTTTCCCGCCGGCGAAGCCTTTGCGGCCTTGGCAGGACAGTTGTCGGCGTAGTGACCTCCATTTCCACAGTAGAGGCAGAGGTTCAGCTTTCGGCGTCTTTCTTTTTCTTCCTGGGTCAGGCGCATGCGGGCCCCGCCCACCGGCTCGGTTGGATCTACCTGGTGGTGGTGTGTGATGTGCGACAACACCAGCGCCCGCGGCGGGGAGCGCGGCTTGCGAGCGGCGGCTGCCCGGGCCAGCCTTCTCTCGATGTGGATGCACTGGCCGATCAGGGCGGACAGCGACTTGGCAACTTCGAGGCGGGAGAGCTCTGCCTGAATGTGGTCGCTGAGGCCCTCGTGGTATTGGTCAATCAGCGCGGGCTCATTCCAATCCAGGTCCTGGGCAATCATCTGGAAAGCGTTGGAATAGTCGATCACTGACCCCATGCCTTGGCGCAGACGTCTGATCTTGCGCTTGGCAGCCTCTCGCCGCTGAGGGTCTTCAAAGACGTGCTTCATTTCGGTCATGAAGGCTGGGTAGTTGTGCATCAGGTAGTGGGATCGCTCCAGCTTTGCGGAGGCCCAGCGGGCAGCACGGCCGGTCATCATGCTTGTCACGAAGCAGACGCGGACACGATCAACTGAGAAATCTCTGGTGCTCTTTTCCATGAAGAGCTGGCACTGGGCCATGAAAGGAACCAGCGCGTCTGGGTTGCCGTCAAATTTCTCGGGAAGGTCATCTGGGCACTCTTCCTCTATGGGAGTGGGTGGGGCAGCAGCCGCTGCGGCACCACGGAGTTCGATGTCATCTTCCTCATCCTGAGGGGCAGGCTCCACTTGCTCACGAAGGGAGGTGTTCTCCTCTGTGAGCTTCTGCACCTGGTTGTGCAGGTTGTTGTTCTCCTCGGACTGCTTCATGACCTTCTCTCTGAGGGAGTTGATCTCTTCAGAGAGATCGTCGCGCCTGCGATCTGCCAGGTTGGGGATGTACTGGCCCCTTTGGCCACTGCGTGAGGAGGAGGAGGAGGCGGAGGAGGGAGCGTTGGGGGGAGGAGGAGGAGGAGGAGGTGGGCAGTCGGGCCCCAGGGTGAGAGTTGGGGTGGGAGGAGACCTCCCAGGTGTGGCTTCACTCCCGTGGGGATGGAGACCTGAGTCCTGGCCTCCTCTTCCACTCTTTCTTCTTTTTATTTTCAAAAGCTTTTTGTTTCTGTAAATGAGGATAAAAGCATAAATTCAACATACACAATCAAAGCACCATAATACAAAGAAGATTTTAGCATTTAAAGCATCTACCAAAGTACTTTAAATACATGAGTATTTAAAGTATCTCTTTGCTCTCCCTGCTTACATAAATATGTAAACAACAAACAAAAACCTTGCAAAGAAATAGATAACAAAAAGCACCCTACTTTTTGATGTCCAAATGACCTTTTCCTCCTCAAAAGTCACCTGTTCATTATGATTCAACAATTCAGAACTGTAGCAACAGCCCGCTTACCTTTCTGATTATAAAAGAACTACTGAGACGCCCTAAACAAGTAGTTTTATATCAAGAGAGCAAACCCAGAAACTTTCAAAGCAAAGATGGATACCAAATAAATTACACGAAATAGAGCCAAAATCATAACTGTTAACAGAGAAGTTACCTGAAGAATAGCTAATATTCTAGCCAATAGGGAACCAAAAAAATATAGGGGGGAATTAAAATCACAATGCCTGTATTCATCAGCCCTGGGGGGAGGTGGGGTGTGCTGGCAACTCTCACCACCCTAGTCCACCTCTACAGAGAAGGTACCTGGTTATCAAAACAAACAACTGCCCCAAAACCCACCAGATTGTCTAAGTTACTTTTCTGATCATAATATGATTTCCCAAAGAGAATTTTCTATGGGACAGAAATGGCACTGAGCTGCAACGTGTGTATATCAGTCTCCCTCCTCATTATGCAGTCAATCAACAAATATTAATTGATGCCTCTGAGGAGAAGCGGGGCTATAAAATGGGACATTCGAAGAAGTCCAATAATAGTACATCTCAAACTTATAATAAGGACGTAATTAAATAATGCAGGTAAAACACACAGTGAGTGTTCAATACCTGTTAGCTGATATTAATAAAGTTATTAATAAGAAAACAGCAAAGCAACTGTCTGTGTAAAGAGGCTGGGATTAAAACAGGGAGGGGCTGTTACTATGGCAATCTGGGCATGCATTTCCCATCTAAAGAGATATATATATTAATACTGTGTTGGTCAAACAAATCCAGGGCCTCATTTGACTTTCAGATCACCAGTATGCAATCCCTGGTTTTTAAACAAGATTTGTCAGCACAGCCCAACCCGAAAGTTTGTAATTTAGGACGGGATAGGGCTATACTCCTAAGGGGTAGGTAAGTGGCACTGTGTGTGCGTGTCTGTGTATGTGTGTCTCTGGTGTGTGTGACGGGGGAGGGGGTGGCGCACTGGCTGGGCGGGTGGGGAGATGAAAGATCCTAATTATTGGCAAGGTGACAATAAATCCCACATACAATAAACCATTACACAGTGTCTGCCTGTGTACTTCCTGAAAACAGGGTTAAACGCATCCAGAGTAATTTAATTATTTTAACCTCAATGATTTTTTAATGAGCAAATTCTCATATTTGGAAAACTTTAGGAAAGTGCTCAAAAGTTTAAAAACGTGATATGCAGACTGCCTGTTCACTAACTTTTATCTTGGAAGTCCCAGCCACCTGTTTCTTTCTGACTCATCAAGGCAAAAATGGATGCCAAATTAATTACATAAAACTTTTTATTATATAAAAAGGTAAACGTGTTATTTAGCAAAGTTAGGTGAAAAAAAGCTAATATTTCAACCAACACGGTCCAAGAGAAAAAAAAAAGGTGTTGAGAATCAAACCTGATGCCTGTAATCTTCAGTCCTGTCCCTGGCTGTGGAGAAATACCCCTTCCTCCTTCTTCCTAAGACCCCTCCCAGTCCTTTCGGCCCCTCCCCTGCCCCAACCCCACCACCCACACCCACTTTCCCTATGGGCTGTGCTGTTGGGATGGCCTCCACAAAGAGTCCTTAAGGGACAGAATTACTGTACCATTTTAATAGTTTTAACCTGCTACTTAATTACTTTAATAACTTAGGCTATAAAAACAATGAATAATTGACATTCAAGATAAAAAGTTTAGGAAAAATTAGAAGATGCAATTAACACATAGCCTGTGACATTCAGTTTCCATTTCCAACTCCTTAAAGACAATTATATTGGTAACACTCAGAATATAAGGTTACAAAATAATGCAATTATTATTCATTAAATTAATGTCCCATTAAAAATAACTAATAAGCACAGGTCAGGTGACTCAGGTGCCCCTTCTGTCATCCAGACATTAATACTTTCAAAACTTAGAAACGAGATTTCTGAAAAGGCATTTACAGCATGGCCTGGTGCAGCGGGACCCAGGTCAGGAAGGTTAACAACCTACATGTCAATCACAGTCACTGAGGTGGGCTTTACTGAGACCCAGGTCTGATGGTTTTAACATCTGCAAAACACAAGGATGCAACAGAAACAACAATACATCAGGAAATCAGCCAACAATTACCGTACTGTTTAGGGGAAAAAGGAGATCAATAGGGGTTTAAAACTCAAAAGCTTTTGGTAGACAGGAAGGTAATACAGCAGTGAGAAGAGAGAGGTGAAGATAACAGGAGGGGTCGCAACTATGTAACTTGGGGATGCATCACTCCTCCCCAAAGACCTTCAATTTTTTTGAGTTTTTAATCCAATGCTGGTCAAACAAATTCAGGGCCTTATTTGGCCTGCAAGGTCACCAGTTTAAGACCCCTGACCTTTACCAATATCAGGCCTCAGGCCTCCGCCCCTGGAGTGGGACTCTAAGTCCTAAAAGAGAGAATTACAGAGTAGTTTAACCATTAAAAGTGCTAGGATAGTGGACAGGCAGGTTAACAGTTAGTGTAAGTAAAGTTTAAAAATGTTGAAACAGCAACAGGAGCACTGTGACTTAATTTGAATTACAGAACTAGGGCTCCTTAAACGCCCTCTGAGGAGGGGCTGGGCTGGGGAGGTAGAGTCAAGAGGTCTGTTCCGAAAACCTGAAAGGACACACAACATAAAGCCAAGCCAACTTGGGACAGGTGCCATATTTACATATGAAAAAAGAGTTCAGTGTTAGTCTATTTAGTAATTAAATACATTTGATTAATTTTTAACTCTTCATGATGACTTCTGAAAATTTCTATTCCCCCAAACACATCAAAAAGTAATAATGGCAGCCAAAAACTGCCGCACATTAAACATGCATTAGGAAATGACACTTCATTAAACTCTTAATTGTTTTACAGTTTCAAATGTTGTCCAAGTTTCTTTTTGAGTACTCTTTGTGAAATGCAAACTCTATTAGTATGCATGTTTTTACCCTTGTTTTGAACCTCTTTCAAAGGTACACAGAGAATTTCCAAAGAGGGAGGCACCACAAGGTGGCAAGTGGGTAAAAAGACAATGGGGACTTACTGAAAGCTGTAATTACGATAAGTACATGCTATCCATAGATTGTATACTTGTTGGGGGGTGTGGGGTTGTGTCTGACAACACCCCCAGCCCCCCCGCAAAGTCCTGGCTCACGGTTTACAATATATAGAACCAGGTTTTCAAATTTCTTCATTTAGTTAGAAACATAAACATGGTACACCTGACTGGCAGGAAGATATAAATTTGTTTTATGTAGATGTTTAATAATGCCAGCTAAAATCCTCAATCTTGTAATATAAACACTTTGTTACATTACACAAATTTTATATGACAATTATAGACTATTAAATAATCCACTTGTCCCAAATTTAAATAATTAGCTTTTGCTTTTTATTTTTAAAAAACTATTTGTAATACTTTAAATTAATTTAGTTGTTTTGTATTATAATTACAGCTTACATTATTGGCGTTTAAAAATGCATATATATATATTTTTTTAATAAGACAAGCAATCCCTTGGACAACTCAGGACAGTAAAGCACCATAGGAAAGATCCAGGAGCAAAAACCAGAAAACACCTGCAGACACCAAGGGAGACAGCGAATAAATCAATTTATTCTGGACATTTAACACATATTTGATGAATGTCCACCATGTGCCAGGCACAACTAATAAATATGTAGGCAGGCTGGCCAGGGCTAATCTCCTAGAGCTGGAAGAAAAAAATCCAGCTTCACAGGCATGCAGATAAACGCCTCTTCCTCACTCAGAGGCCAAGCCAGCAACACCAATAAACCACTTCAAACTCCTCTATGAAACACAGTTCAGGCTGTTCCTTATTTGCATCCATCAAGGCATCCGATTCCAGTACATCCCACCACAAAGGTCCACTAGTGTCTTAAAAAAATCCTTAAATGTGAAAGTATTTACAACAGTCTATTTTTGATTTGTAGTAAAAACATTTAGCTCGACTGCCCTTAGAGGCTCCAGCCACGTCAGCTTAGGAGCACCCTTCATAACCCACTATAAGGGGTTTAAATTGTGGGATTATGTTATCTAACATATGCAAAGTGCTTATAAAAAGCACTTATAAATGACAGGTAAATTTACTATTGTTGTTAATTATTCTTATTATTGTTAAATTTATTAGACACTAGTGGATAAAAAGCAAAACCGGGGCAGCAGGGAAACCGCAGGAGGGTGGGGCTGTGCAGCCAGGCTCAGGGAGTGAAGGCACGCAGGCGCAAAGGAGGTGGGCCTGAGGGAGGGGCTGGGGCCTCACACTGCGCAGGCGCACGTGGCTCTGGGGGAGGCGGGGCCGTAGGCCAGCTCTGTAGAGGCGGGCTCAGGGAGGGGCCAAGCTTTGGAGAGGCGGGGTCTGACCAAGTCACCTCAGAAGAGGTGTGGTCTTGCGGGGGGGGGGGGGGGG